AATTCAAATAAAGGCATTAATTATAAAACCTTACTAATTTTTATTAATAACTTAATAGAAAAGTTATTAGTAACAACTACCTAATGTCCATTGTAATGAACACTTATCGACGTGTATTTTATAGGTGATGGAAGAATGATAAAAATGTTTATAATATTTGTTATTGTTCTTTATCATATTAATATCAAAATAAAAATGTCCATTGAAATGGACATCAGGCACATACGATTACAAATGTTATAAATAGATCAGGCATTTTATGTAGTAATACAAAATGTCCATTAAAATGAACATTAGGCGCCAAGAGGCTATATTGTATTTCTTACTTCTTTTATTAGTTACACAATGGGTAGTGTTACGGTAAGACGACAGTCAATGCATAACAATTAATTTCTAAGTTTCGATTGATTTAATACTCAAATGTTTATTTGTTATTCTCGTAGATTACGTAAGAATACTTAGGTGGTTTTATATAGGAAACTCTTACTTTTGCTAACTATGTTATGATATTTCATATCTTGAATTTTTTATTAAATTAACTTACTGGCCGATTTATGACAGTATTTCATTGTCAGATTACGAAGGTTACGAAAGGTGCGTTACCCCAGCACCCGCACTTTCGAAAACATGAATTGTAATCAAGCAGTATTATGTACTTTATTTTGTACAACCAAAATTAAATTTTGTACAACCCCCGAACCTCCCCGAAATTCAATTTCATCTTACGGGTGTTATCGCGTATCTTCTATCAATATTGTATCTAAGATACTTTTATCGAATATACAGCACTTCCTTTTAGGTAGAAATAGTTGCTGTTGATTAACTTATATAATTCAAAAAGAATCAACAGAATATATTAGGTAAGTTCGCAGATATCAAGATTTAAAATTATGTCAATTATATTAAGTAGGTGCATTATTTTAATAACAGTTAAATTAATCATTTATATATTTATATATTAATATCATATTACATTTTTACATTTTTTAATGAATGACTTATTTTCTGATAAGAATAACAAAAAACAATCGAAGAGTATCTACATTAAATGCAGATACTTCGGTACATGTATATGTTTTATTTTTACTAAATACAGTTGACATAAGAATGTCAACGCCGATTAGGTATTAGATACTAGGATTATGCTGTAGGTAACTTTTTTAACACGTGTAAAAAATAAATAAGGTTCAAAAACCGCAAGTTAAATATTTTTTTGAATAAACATTTTATTTTAATTTAAATTACAGAATCGTCATTTATAACACTTTAGGTAATTAGTAATAAAAAACGGTATAGTGAAATACAAAGCGTACTCACGCGTTTCAAGCTGCTCGATGTGTCCATAAAATACTTAAAAAATATGTATATTAATATAAAATAATATAAATATGTTTACGAAGAGTAATAAGCTAACTAAAATTATAAATACCGATAATTCCCACCTACTGACATCGACAAACTATTAACCAATATCAGTTATATTTATATAATTTATAATGAGTTATTTTTATCGTCAATATAATTATTATACAACTAGCTATAAGTAATGTTACTTTTTTACTCATTTTTCTCAAAACTACTCCATTGTTGCTTACTGCCTTTTGGCTTAGGAGGTCAGTATACATGTCAATAAACATCGTTTTATATTTGTTATGCCGTAGGTATACCGTAAAAGTTTTTATTATTTTAATATTGTCTGACTAATTTCTTGTCATCATCACAGTAGGAGTTGTAATTTGATATTGTTATCTTAATGTTAAGAATAAAAATATAATATTGCATTTCTAAAAATAGTCTAATACAATTTGATTTTAGGTTGTACAATAATAATTACTATTTCTAACCAATGAACAATGATACTAAGTAGTTGGTACGTCGTACGTGGGCATTATGCTACATTGCTACTTTCAACATTGTCGACTAATTCGTCTATTCATGATATCGCGCTTCTAAGCATTACTACAACAAAATGTATCGAATATTTTGACTCATAGATTAATTTTATTTTAGTAATTTACTATAATTTTGTCTATAATAATATATATTTGGTTTTAATATGAACTTGAATGTACCTCTCGCCTAATGTCTTAATGTACTTCTGTTTTTTCAAAATTGTGATCTTTTAAATAAATTAAATTTAAGTCGTATATTAAGTATAATTTCCTTGAATTTATTTTGTTTTATATTAAAATATAATTAAAGCTTTTGTGTATTATTCTAATAAGTGATGGCAAACGATAATAAAGAAAGAAAACCAAATAATTTAAATGAATTAATGAATTAATGAATTAATGATGAAATTTTAAATTTGAAAGATCAAATTACTTTGGATGGCTATAGTATTATTGTATTAGTATAGGTATCTAAATAATATAAATAATGCAATGTATGATTCAACATACCTACAGCTTTAATACATTCAAGTACCTATTCAATTATTTTAAATGTGTAGGATCTACATTTTATAAAAATAAAGGATCTACATTTTAAATTTATCAATTACCTATAATAGGTACCTACTACAATTAATTAAATTGACTGTATATAAACTAACAAAAGATTTCTTCTTTTAGAAAATAGTCTAAAAATAGTCAATATAAGATTTATAAAAATAAAAATATAAAATTAAATAGAGTTGTATCTATGATAATTTTGCCTTTTATTAGGTATAATTTGTAATTTCCAAAAAATATAATATGTTTATTTTAGATTTAAAATTTATTTTATGCAAATTTGATCAACAATATTATTGTTAACACATTGATGGACATTCTGAATTTTGGTTTTTTTCTTAAGAACCTTCAGAAACGCAATTAAATATTAATGCTATAGCAGTAGAGATTTGACCACTGCAATAGCAGTAGTGTCCACCTACATGGTAATATCATAATAATCACACATTTTTTCGATATTTTTTCGGGACACAATATTTATTATATTTGATATTTATTTACGTAAATATTTAACGCACTAACAACTCGATAGTCCACACACAAGTGCAACTGGATTACCAAAACTAAATATAACGAAAACAATCATTACTCATAAATTATAAACAATGATTGTATTATTAGCCGGATTGTTATTTGTTATACTGTATGGTATGAATTTTAAAATGAAAAGAAACAGTATTCAGAAATAATTGTCAATAAAATTCCCGATAACATATTATAAACGGCAAATACTAAAAATAGAAATAATTGATTATTAAATACAATGCCTAATAATCCATTGAGTTGCAGTGGGGTAGTATATAATAAACATCTTATATTACATTTTAAAGATTTTTTTTAGGGGCCAAATTTTTTTATCGGTATTTAAAGAAAAATAAAATTAAAAAAAATCGAAAATTTCAATGGTCTATAAATATTTTGAAAATTTAATCATAAATTTATAACGCTAATATAAACATTTGGTTAAAATTTAAAGTATTTACAATGATTCGCTTTTGAGTTACAGCAAAATCAAAAAATCGATTTAGTCGAAAAGTGGTTGTACATAAATTCCTGTTTTTCCGTTACTTTTTCAGGGTTATTACAGAGTCTCATAAAAACTAATAAAAATTGTTTACTATTAATTACCTAAAGTATAAACTAGATTAAATTAAATTATTAAAGAGGGGCTGAAGTCAAAAATCAAAGCACTATTACCACTCCAAAACGTGATGACAGACACAATAAAAAAAAAAAATAAAAAAAAGCACACATCATTGTAAAATAAACACGTTCATCACTCCGTTAAGAATCTAAAAGTTTAATAAAAAGTATTAACATAGATGTTCCAGAATATAGAATTAACCTATAAAAATGGAAAATAATGTAGTACCAAATAAAGAATTTAATTGAATGAATTCCCAACAGAAGTTGAAGGTCGTAAACTATGATAATAGATAAAGGGGAAATATTAGAATTTTGTACTCGAACTTCTATGAACTCTACAAGCCGCCTCTGGTTTGGGAATTGTACAAAATAAAGTACATAATACTGTACGGTTTAAAGTTGAAATTTGTGAAAATTAGTTGATCCGGGTGCTGGTGTAACGTTACCACAGCACCCGTAAAATGAAATTGAATTTCGGGGAGGTTCGGGGGTTGTACAAAATTTAATTTTGGTTGTACAAAATTGTACAAAATAAAGTACATAATACTGTACGGTTTAAAGTTGAAATTTGAGTAAATTAGTTGATCCGGGTGCTGGTGTAACGTTACCCCAGCACCCGTAAAATGAAATTGAATTTCGGGGAGGTTCGGGGGTTGTACAAAATTGTACAAAATAAAGTACATAATACTGCTTGATTAAAATTCATGATTTCGAAAGTGCGGGTTCTGGGGTAACGCACCTGGTTACGAAACCTACATATGCACAGTCCATGGGTTAAAACATAAAATTGTTCACGTGGATGAATTTATAAGACATGCCTGCAACAGATATACCTATGTACAACGGATGTAATTATTTTTATAATGTACTATCTATGAACTCCATCCATCAAAAATATTAGGTTAAGGTAATAGAAAAATGCTACAAAATCAAAAAAATAATATTTTTATCCTGTAATGTTTAGATGTTTGGGTGAGTGGAGACTATAAAGTGTGAATTCTTAAACCTTTCTCGTTCATGATCTTAAATTGATTATGTTAATTCATAAACTTTTCAAAAATTACATCAATTCTAATTTTTAATCAAAGTACTATATTTATTTTGATTTTCCAATTCATGGAAAAGTTGTATAGAAAACTTTTAATGGTTTTACGACAAAACTAGTAGAAACCTACTGTTCTTCTTTGAATTTTGACTAAAAATAATAGTATACATTTTTACAATAAAAAAAAAAAAAAAAACACCATAATTAAATTATTTATTTCTACGCATATAAATTTAATCAGCATACAACTTCAAAATATTTTTTATATGAATACAATATAATAATTAATAATGTAAATAAATAAAATAATGTATTATAAACTATAAATTAGTAATATAGTAAATACACGCCTAAAATAAATTATAAGGTCTAATGTTTATTCGTTTTAATGATTGTGTAGATAATTAAAAATAAGAAAACTATTACCATCATTCCAAAGCCGTTCAAAACCAATGACTCAGGTGAATATTGTTGGTACTGTTCTTTCCTAAAACACAATTTATAAAAGTAAATATCAAATTTCATATCCAACCATAGTTTTAATTTAATTATGTACGACATGACTTTCCTAAAATTAATTGTAAATTATAGTATATTTATATGTTATAGTCAGAAATATTAACAAGAAATAATTTTAATACGAAATAAGTACTTTATCCATCATGAAAATACTGAATACTTCTAATGAAATGAGTTCTAATTTAATGAGTACAAATGTAAAATTTCAAGAATTGTTCGCATAAGATTTATATTGAAACAACTTGCGCTATCAACGCAATAATTTCTGTTTACTACGTTATCTTAAAAAAAAAAAAAAAAAAATGTTTACTCATTATTGCAACTATTTGTTTTTGTGATTAAGAAATAAGAACACAAAAATCCGTATTTCATAGGTCTTTATCTTGAGCATAGCAAAATATGACGAATTGACATGTACATTTCATAGTACTCTAATATAATATCTAAATTCTGTTATTTATTATTAAAAAAAAATGTAAGTGTATCTATATTTATATATATTTTTTTAAATTTTAACTTTTTCCGAACATGTTTACTCGTAGTCGAATAAGTACTATATCGTAATTAATTACATATATTTATTAAGAATTTTAAAAACAATATCTTTTGGTTATATAATGAGATAAAATAATACAAGGAATTTCTTTATAATAATAAACAATAAAAATTATATAGCACAGTTTTTCATTGCTTATCTAATATCACAAAAAATTTCCTACGAGTACAATATGACAATACATTAAAAATCCAGAAATACCTTTTCCTGGTGGTTGGTCGACCATCTAACTAGAAACAATTTATTTATATTTAAAAATAAAAAAAATTTTGTGCATAATAATGAAACACTGTCGAGCTTATGGAAAAATTGATAGTTTTAATTACGTGGATATTATGAAAATATTTAGAATTTGCAGCCAATTTTCTGCCATTGCATTTTTATTTAGTAATTAAGTGTGTTAATATAATACGCATATCAGCATGTATGTAAAAATAGGTTTGATTATATCATCAATATTGTAATAAACATATAACCCTATAATACAAGTATAATATAATGTATATCATATACAAATTATATCTAATTACAATATAATATCTTTTACCATATGATATAAAGTAGAAAAATACATCAATAGTTTTTATAAATACTTGAATTATAGTTAAGGTTTAGATGTTTATAAAATTGCATATTTTTTTCTATTAATCCAATTTTGGACCTACATACAAATTTGATTCGTGTTCTAATGAATCAAATAGTACTATTTCTGTTTTGCACATTTTTTACATCTTTTAAAAATAATTTAAATAAACGGGTAGATAAATCATGAATCATCGATCTAATTGTGTTTGTTCCAAATATTTTAAGATTCAAGTTTGATAAAATTAAAAAATAATTGTATTATAGTATAACGCTCATATTGTAAATTAGTATATATCGGTATTAAAAAAATATAAAATACAATAATAACTTATAAAAATAAATTGCATTCTTATATATTATAATAAATTTAAATGTTTAATGCTAAAGGAAAAATACATTTCACTCAGCATATTTTGTATTTTTTTTTTTTTTGTGCATATTTGGTAATTTCTTAGTGCACGAATGCATACATCTTATAGTAATTTCAGGTGCAGAAACATACTAACCCTAATAGCAATATATTCACAGGCGTTCGCAGACCTGTATTTTAGGGGTGTCTACATTACTTTAGGGCCCTATCTTAACAAAACGTGTAGGTATATTTAATAAACTATATCTAATGTATAAATAATTAAAAAAAAGCAACTTAATTTTTTTATTTAATATTGTAGTAGTTAGTCTCAATGAATATATTTTCCGAATCTCGTATGTTTTTATGAGATAGCTTTAATTATTTATTTGTACTTTAGTGGTAAATTGTAGCTGTAATATTATTCTAATAAGTTTTTTCACGAAAATTTAGAACATTTTATTTTATGTTTTCTATTACGTAATATAATTTATTTTTTACTAAACACTTTAGAATAAATTATATTTAATTTGATTAATATCAGTTAAAATATAAGCCCCTTACTTATAGATTAAAATTGTAGTCTCATTTACAACATTTCGGGGGGTGCCTGTGCGCACTCCCATGAATAGATTATTTGAACCAAGTAGGCACATTTATTTCACTTTAACAAAATTATTTACTAGTAGCTTAGGCGTATAAAATATTTGTAAGAAGTGTTAAGTATTTGTGATCATGTTCAGGGCCAGATTAAGATATATTGCGCCCCGGGGCAAACCTTCTTAAAATTCAGAAATTTTTTCGTTAATAGTGTTTTTACTCTAAATTGTACCTACATATTATTTAAAAACTTTGTGTCTTTAAAATCTTACGCCCGGGAGCAGATTCCCCACTGGATTCCGGCTCTGATTGTGTTATATTATGTGGTTGATATAAACTTGGTTAAAAATAGGGTCCTAACTGTGTTAGAGAATTCGTTTAGAAATTTGTTTTCAATTATTCATGTACTTACCTTAGTTGTGTAGTTTTATTTTACACAAAAGCAGTATAAAACAATATGTATTTATTAAAATGTATAGTATAAATATATTCGGTGCCACATCAAGATGAGGGAGGAGGGACTTCTGAGAAATTGGATATACTTGCTCCAGGTGTTGTTGGTATAAGGGCGCTCTTAAGTTTATAAAAAATAGAATAGTTATGAACATATCACGTACTTCTATCAACGTAAGGGCGTTACATTTTTGTTAGCTATATGTGTTAAAATTTCCTAGATCCGGCACTGAATGTATTACAGGTATTGTTGGTATTATTTATAAAATATGATTACATACTTCATATAATTTTAACCCACACAATTGCAATAAATATAAATAAGAAGGTATGCTTATGATAGCTAAGTAGATACATTCCTGAAATACTTTTATACTCGTATTAATTGCCGATAGGCTCTTAAATAATTTTGAACTCATTAACGTTATAATTTCTGCAAGTATATATTTTTGATCAATAGCACCTTTTGGTTTAGCTACTAAACGGGCAAATTTAAGGCAGATAATTTTTTTCATTTATGAGCCATTTTCAGAAATGTTCAGGTTATCAAAAATCATGTTGTGAGAATAATTTCATAATAATTGGTGATTATTGCAGGCGATTCTCAATTATAATGTATATAATTTATTATTACTTAACTCTTGAGATTTTTTTTTTTTTTTACATTTTGCCTTCGTTAAAAATATTACGGCAAAAACTCTTGAGAGATTATAATTAAAAAGCTATTATTAAAAATGATTACAAGTAATCATTTAAAAGCTGTACTTCATATAGATCTATATATCCATCACTATTGCATATATTTGTAAATTTATAACGGCTATATGAAACGTGAAGCTTAAATGTTGTACACAATTTTTAAAAAAAAGAATTTTTCAAGCACATATTTTTTAGTCTATAGAGATTTTTTATTAATAAAACAAATCAAATGTCATTCTGGCATTCTGAGACACGTTAGAGCAGTGGTCTCAAACTCAAATTACCATCAGGCTATATAAATTTACGTCAAAGGTATTTTATTTTATTTTTTACTCATTTTAATATTAAATCTAAAATATAAAAAATATATTTAAAAAAAATGTATTTTTTATATTGATTATAATTATGACGAAAACTCTTGTTTTGTACCAGACTGTTAAAGTATAAATTATTTTATAAAACAAAATTTTTGAAGAAATAAATATTCATTACGGGCCGCGTGTTTGAGACTACCACGTTGGAGGATATAAATGGGTGGGCACGTTGACTCTGCTGTCGATGCCAAAATGACCCATACCTGTCAGGTAAATGATGGTTATACTAAATTTAGTGCATATTGGATATACATAGTGTACTCACACAAACATATTTAACCATATAAATTGTATTGTGACACGTGTAATGTATACTTAATACTCACAATGAATACAGTGCATGGTGGTTGGTTCCAGCAATGAGGCAGATGGTCGAAACTAGAACGGTGTACAAGCTGAAAATCTTGCCAAAAGGTAAGCCTAAATTGTGCAGGCACGGCATCATGAAGGCCAATACTGCGCTCAGCCATTGAACTGTGAACAGCGCCGCGGCAAATACACCGGTCCAGGAGTGTATTGAAAACACATGGCCCTCGTAGAACTTTCTGTGTCTGGGTTTGCCCGTTTCCTTGTGAACGTACATTGCGTACAACCCTAACGCGGATACGATGTACGCAAACGTGTGCAACATAATATACGGCAACGTGACGTTCGACTTTTTACTTTTCCTTATCATGAAAATGGCTGTAAGAATGTTGCACGATTGTAGCGGTAGATAATATTCAATGAACAATAGTATAATAATGTAACGATTTAATCTACGGTTGATGCGAATACACCAACTCTAACAGGGTTACTATACTAAACTACAACATAATGTGTATCGCGTTTGCAGAGTTCATGAGCTACTGAAAGTTGTACTATACATAGGAGATCAATTTTAAAAAATTACAACTTTCGCAGATCATTTCGTATAATATTTACATAAAGCATACGTTACTGCCCTTCTCTTATCCCTGGCAGACTACTATTTTCACTTCTATCTTCCCTTGGTTATATCGTTCCCGACCAAAGTCTTCTCCTTAACACTCGCTTCACTTCCATTATTTCCTCGATTATTAATTTCATATCTTCTGCTCACTCCTTGATTTAAACTACCTTATACTAAGTCAATATTTGTAAATCTATGTATAAATTGAATATACATTATTAAATAATAACATTGCTGTGATCTAACCAAAAAAGGGAAAAAATAAAAAACATACGTTACATATACTAAATCATGTTAAAGAAATTTTTAGATTTTACAAAATACCTATACGTATTAAGTTTTTTATTTTTATTTTTGTTCCATGAGTTACGGAAATTAAAACTAATTTTCTATATAACTATATGCGTCTATTTACTAATTAATGGAAAATAAATAAAATTTTAACTAAATCAAAAAAAAGCATGTTTTGAAAACAAACAAAAACTATAGACTATCTTATCTACTGTTCGCCGATATTTGTTTTTGGATTTATTAAAGTGATGAAAAAATTAACGTATTGCATCGCTTCAAAGCTATATTGTATATTCATATTATACTTACAATTAGCATAAAGATATATGAATCCAACAGTGGTTAACGTGTAATGCCAATTGGAAAATTGACTTTTGGTAATAGACGTTGTGTTGTTTTCCGGATTTGTCTCAAAGTATCCGTTTCTATATATAATGGTTCGACAAATAATCGCAGTCACGCAAGTAAGCCCGACAGCTTGAAATAAGGCCCAAAAACATAGACCGATTGAGTCACTATCATCGACGTTTTTTCGCTCTAAAATCATACGACTCCCAAATCTGAGTATTATTTTATACTTCTATAAAATTGCTAAGCTGTAATTAAATTGGTAAATAATAAATAGATAACGTTGCTTCTATAAGTTTTTATTATACATGAAAAATAGCAAAATCAACAATCGTCTACTCTGTAAAATGAAGACAATATAGCATCTCAAATATATGTTATAATATAAAATATATCTTACTAAGAATACCATTGTGGGGTAAAAATTCAATATACTTTTTTTCTGGAATATCTTTAGAATTTAACAAAAAATATGGTAACAAAACCAAAAAATGTTAGTAATTTGTTAATTTATATTTCTTAAAATATGAAAAATATTTGTAGGATTTCAAATTCCATCCATTTTATGAGACAACAAGTCCTTATTGATTCACAGGACAATACGAAATTTTGTAAATTAATTACTTTAAAGCACATATTCAACGAATGAAGACATTTAATGTTGGAGTACAATATTACAATTTTTTTATACTTAAAATACAGTTTAAGCATATAAATATATAAATATGATTTTACCAAAACTGTGCATAGCGGGATGAGAACTAGAAGATTGAATGCCATCTGAAAAAAAAATTCAACATTTAAAAAATTATACGTGTTATTATATTCTAAATGAATTACTGTTCATAATTTATAGTACGTCCACATAACACTTATATTGCGATTTATAAAGGTATAATATAGTATTATAGTATTTATATAGGCGATTGATACTATACCATATTTTAAATATAATAAATGTACTGTCTTAATTTTAATATTTGAACAGTGGCACCGTGTAAGTATTTACATAGTTCAAATGAACCATTTTAATTGAGTGTGTGGGTATTTGTTGACCCTGGGTAGTAAATAATGTTATAATTTAATAGGCATAATTGTAATTTGTATAAAATTATAAACATACAAGTTATAACACAATTTAATAGAAAGTACATTCATTTACCGTAAAGCGCAGCGATGGATTGGCCCACCGGGATAACGGGAAAGTTCCCGGTGGGCCGGTAGTAGTATTATAACACTTAGGCTGGGGCCACACGAGCTTACAAAATGCCTCGATACGCACGTACTTTTTGACGCGCGTCGTAGGACGGTTATGGGAGCAGACACACGAGTAACGCACGTTAATACGGACGTCAAATTTTATCGACGTATTATCTCTTCGACGCACGTACAACGGACGTCGAAAATATCAACGCTAAAATTAAATTTGTATTGTTTTTAAATGTGAACGTCAGCTGCGTGGTCACACGAGCGTACTTTCGTATGCAGTACGCACGTTATCCAGACGTTTCTAACCACCCGTCCACGTGTGTATACTATATACAAAAAATAATAACAAATTTTTAACGGACGTCATATCGACGCTCGTGTGCCCGCTCAAGTGCGCGCATTAAATAGTATCTCCGTCGCAACGCGCGTATTTAGTGCGTCCGTGTGGCCCTAGCCTTAGCCGATGTACTTTGATTAAAAATTATTTTATAAAAATAATGTATTTAATTGTAAGATTGTGATGTAAACAATTCTACGAGCATTTACTCCATGTACAAAGGAGACTTTTATGGAAAATTATTATTATTGGATGATGGGCCGGTCATACGGTAATTTCCCAGGCCGAAATATTTAGCCAATCCGCTGCTGGTACAGCGTGTCCATATTGATATTTAAACTCAGAATAATAAACATTGTAAATAATGAACACGTATCTCTTGTGTTCTATTTTGATCTTTGGAAAATAATTATTATATCAATAATAATAACAATAATAAATTAAAAGTGTATTAATAATTATTAATTAATATAATTAATAATAAAAATAATAACGCAGACTCGCACTTCCATATCGCTCCATGTGTAAACAGTAAATTGAAATAATATACGTAAACAATTTATTTGTATTTTATAAGACACATTTCTTTATCTTCTTCTTTTGGCATTTACTTATATTACTCTTTAAGAGTTTCCGCTGCCATCGAGATTATCCTCCACTCTTTCTTGTTATGAACTATCGTTCTCCATTTTCGTATCCCTATTTTCTTGAGATCTTCTGCTGTCTCCAACCTAACCTTCCTAAACCACCCGTGAGGTATTTTTTCCATAGATTTCCATTCTAGTACCGTTCTAACCATAACTTCATCATTACTGGGTATTATGTGACCAAGCCATTGTATTAGTTGACCACTTATAAAACTATTGACTGTAGTTAATCCTAATCCTTCTTGAAATTCTCGATTAAATTTTCATCTCCATGCACCTATTACCACTTAACCTGTTCTGCGGTCATTGATAGGGACAATTGTTCTCCATATTTTATTCTCAAATGAAATTAATCACCTTTTTGTGATGCTAGTGGTTGTTCGGGTTTCGCATCTATAGGTAAACGTGGTTCTCATTATCGCCGTTTACAGATATACGCAGACTTTATTTCCAAGATATGCAGCTGATAAAATGTACCCTTACCTCGCAAATATACAAATATTAATATACATAACATTGCATTACAAACTTATGATTAATACTTCTTATTAGAAAATATTTGGCTTTTCATCATTTTTTTTCACTATAAAATAAAATTTATTTTTAAAATAAAAATTGACATTATACATAATTTATACCTAAATTAAAATTTATAAAATCCAGATTAAAAAATACAATAGAAGAAAAATGGTTGGGATTTATAATGTTGATGTTTTGTGAAAAGAATACTTTACGAAGAAAAACTTTATACCCCTACAAATACTTTTTCAACCAATAGTGGAATTTAAAAAAAAATTATTTTATTAATATAAAATTAAAAAATGTTGTTTATGTGTATTATTTTATTGTTTTCAATTACAAAAACTTCTATAACGATTATTTTATTTTTATTATTTGAATAATTTTGTAATTAATATTGGAAAAACCACGCTAACCAAAGCTGGATGTACTCGGTATTACAGATGATCATAAGATAGTGTGCGAGAGCAAAGAAACGATAGAAGCAAGGAAAATTACCCGAGAAATAAATGAAGAAAAGACAAAAGTAATGGGAATACTTACAGAGTCATGAAGATTTTTCGGTGGATAACATTCAGAAATGTGTATGTATGGATATAAATGGATAACTAAGTGTATGAGAACTCATAGTTTTAAGTATTTAGGAGCAACAATCATGAGTAACAACTAGGGGTCTCGTTTTTGTACGTGAATATAAATATAGGTAGTCACGTGTACCATAATCACATGAATGCAACAAAATAAATCACGTATTGTTAATACATGTGAATTCAAAAAATCCTTAATCACGTGAACATATATCTGTATCATATTCACGTAAATACGTGAATTAGTATATTTACGTGAACAAGCATTCAGTAAATAGTACACACATACTTATAGTATAATTTTGACTGAACATTACAAGTTATAAACAATCGTCAAGAGCTATCAAATACAGACTAAAAATGTGGACATGCAGATATTTTTAAACCAAAATCGAGAATTTTTGCACTAAATATTTTTTTTGAATTTAGATAGACCTCAGTCTGGTTACATGCCGCCTCAGATGGATACAAGCCCATTATTAAATTATAAAAAAAATAATTATAAATTATCAATAAGATGTCTTTTGTTTTGTTTATTATTTTGTTAATATATTTATTATAATTTCTTGGATTATTATTTGTTTATACATTATTTATTATAACTTTACTTATTCATTTGCTTTCAATTTGTTTCATTTAGTTGTACATGTATCAATAAACATTAAATTATTAACGTCATATATAAAACATTATTATTTTTTACTGAGCATATTTAAATAGCTATACTAAGTTTTATTGATAATTAGACTATTCTAACCTATATCCATGTTTTAGTTTTGTATGACAAATTCTAAATCTATATAATATTGTCTGTGTTAGAATTAGTATAATTATTATTGTTGGACGTATGGAGTGCACCCAACTTCAAAGGAATTTAATGTCAATTTATTAAATACTAATAATAATTATGGATTTATTAATCTTTGTTTAGTTATTTCACATAATTTAAATTTTTTATTACGTAATTTTTTCCAAAGTCTGGGGTTAATTATTATTTTTATAAAATTTTATTTTTAAAAAAAAAAAAAAAAAAAACTAATTCGTTTAATTAATATTCATAGTGCGAACGACTCTCGTGATTATAAATATAAGTAAAGCAACTGAATAATATATTTATTTGTGTATTTGACAGATATACAGCAGGTAGTCGGTGACTAGATAAATTTATGAATTCACATGATTATATAAATTCACGAATTTACGTGATTATACAAAGTCATGGAGTTACGTGAATATAATAATTCACAGGTTTGCAGGAGTAAAAATTATAAATACACATGGAATTTTAAGCAACAGAACACGTGAAATAGGGAGCTCTAATAACAACGACTGGAGTGTCAAAACACATTCCCCTCAAAGCGGACAGAACCTTTTTTGCATTGATAAAATATTTCAAATCGAAACTATTCTCTAGAGAGGTATAAAAATACAAATCTACATGTCTATTATAAGACCAACACTAACCTATGATTATGTATATGTGAAGTGTAGCTGTTGACAGTACAAACTGAATGGAAAATTAGAAGTATTGAGAATAAAGTGATAAGGAAAATATATGACACAGTGTTTGTCAATACAATAAATTTATGACAAAGAAGAAAAAAATGCGGAAATAAGGGAAATTACTATTTTGTTATTCTCTAACTATAAGTTAATGGTCGATTGAAGAGGTAGATGGTAGGTCGTAAACTAAGATGATTTTAACCACCATTTTTTAAAGATCCCATTGTCATTGTATTTGAATATAAAATCAATATTGAAATAACATATTTTATTAGATTTTAGTTGTATGTATTAAGTATGTATTAAGTATTAGTCAGATGATAATCTTTCATAGTAAATAATATTATTATTAAAAACAATTATATTCATTCATTCGATGTTTAAAATATTTAAAAGACCATATACCTAAATAAATGATGGGACATTCAACAATTAGGTCAGCATATATTTTTGATACTCCCTCCCACCACGACAGCATATGCAGAGAGTCACTATTCCCTCCTCTTATCTTACTTCAACGTTTATACTTTTATAAGCCCCCTAAATTATTTTATTCTTATTAATAAAATTAATTTCTTCAATTATTAAAATAAAGATAATAATAAGAACGTCTTCTGATGCTCAGTCATTTATCGAATTTTGCTTTTTTCGCGCGTTAATTGAATTTTAATAGATATGATGCTGATATTAGATTTGTGATAAAGTCTATTAGATTGTTTGAACTATTTTCTCCCTCCCAGTCTGCTGACATTATATTTGAATTCTAGTGCTATTGTTTGAACATGTTTTAACAGTGACAAATACAATTACTTAATTCTATCTGATCAGTAGTCTAGTTGTTTAAATGGATTGTACTGTGTTAAAACAGTTTAATCGCTATCTTCAATTTAATAACTGTGGATATTTTTTACGTATATTGCAATAACACGGTATATTATCTACACTTATATATTATACATTACACACGTTTATAATTTATGACACTTATCAGTAATTATTTTATTTTTAATTGACTGCTAATGGCACTAATAAGCTATTCACGAATTTAATAAATTCGAGTTATAAGTATTGTTTAAATGAAAATGTATAATAAGAGACATTTATATAATTATGATAAGTTATGGATTTTTGGTTAAAACGTTAAAACTTAGTGAAGTTGGAGTCTACTATTTATCAATCATAAAATGAAGTAGGTACTTATTTATAAACAATAATATAATTTCAAATCTGTTAATCCTAGTTAAAGTTCACAGAAGTTCTTATTGTATGAACGTTATAGATTTAAGAATTAAAACTAAAATAAAATAAAACAAATTTAATATTATTTTTCTTTGGAGAATAAAGATAACTTATAACCCAATTAAAACTATAACTATAAATTATGTATTAAGTATGGATTTTATTTGTTAATATTCTATTATTTTAATCTTATTTTTATTACATTTTTACAGAGCTTGAAATCGATTTCAAATATCGATAAAAATCGTTAAAAATTTTAGAAACTCAAAATCAATATCAAAATCATTAATGATTGGTAATAATTTTCAAAATTTATATTGAAATTGAAAAAAGTTAAAATCGATATTTTATATCAAAATCAAAATCGTTTTAATAATTAAAACGATTTTAAATAAAATTAATTTAAAATTCAACAGCGAACAGGTCTATTAATATTGTCGATTCCTAGATATTGCCATATTTGGTAATAATATTGATTATACATAATAATTAGGGAACGGATTTATATGTAAATACATATTTTTATTAAAACGAGATATTTAAAATTTGATAAGAAATTTTCATGATTTAAATCATTCCTATTAATATTATGATACTTTTATTTTACATATTTTTACATATTTCAATAATTTGTAAATATTTTTAAACATATTTTATCATTTCATCATTCATACATCTTCTTCATACAAAAGTACAAGAAATTATTTCAAATTTAAATCCAGTAACTTCTATTGCTATTAGAAAAGCTCAAAATATTGTGTAAAATGAAACATTAAAAACTAATTTAATTTTCATCTCAATGAATTTTAATTTTATTGCACATACATTTACAAAATTAGAAACAAAAATATGTCCTTGAATGAAAGTATGCAAATTGTCGAATCAACGATTGCAAAATGAAAACTTGTAAGCAGACCAATAGGAGATGTTGTAAAAAAAAAAATTCATGCTGTTACAAAAAAAAAAATTCCAGGCTATATTGATTTTAAATCAATCAATGACATAATGAGTAGCAGACACCCTTCTAAAAATTTGGAATTTCGCTTTCTGATATTATGCCCTTTAAATATGCTTAAATCAACCGATGTAGGTTGATGTGGAACGATCATTTAGCCGTTTTAAAAATATTTTCAGATCTAATAAGCGATATTTAATATTTGATAATTTAAAATATATTGTAATAGTTCAATGCACCAAATAATTTTGATAATTTAATAATAATTATTAAATTTTTTCCTACATATTTGGATGGTTTTAACACATACAACTAAAGCAAATACCACATAATAATGTTTAAAAAAAAGTTTAAGGTTACAAAATTCGATTAAAATACTATAAAAGGTAAAGTAAAATATATATTATATGTACAAAGTATAAGATCCTTTACTTCACACAAGCTATGCATTTTCGCTTTTATGACTAAGTCTAAAATTAAAAATGTTATGAGATCGCAGGGACACTTTTTGCTTCTTTTCTGCAAATACCTACCTAAATCAATGAACTTTAAATAGTTTGATTTTTATGGCGTTTACATGCCGTTTTGATTTTGTACAGTTGAATATTCACTATTATTAAGAAACGATCAAATAAATAAGCGTAAAAAAGGAATAGTACAATATTACATTTATGAACAATAACTATATGCATAAGTAGGTTGTCAATTAATCTATATACAATTTTCGAGTGCCTTCTGATGGGGAAAAAAATTAAATCAACAATAAGTTGCACTTAATATGTAGAATACTGAAAGACGTTTTTATGTATTACGCGAAGAAATCTCGAGATGTTTAAATTAAAACACATACTTGCCGTAGGGTTCTCAGAACGTTTAACAGCATAACTGTTGGTGATGATTTGTTCAACAATTGAGTTTCCACCATCGTCCAGTTCCAAGACTTCTGAGTCATCTGCACACGACAAGATTACACGTAAAATACAAATGTTAACATAAAGTAAAGATCGCAATCGAATTCGTTCGGTCGACTGCGTATAAACGTATAATAAGCTTTTGATGTCAATATTATATTGTTGTGTCGCAATGAAAGGGTTGAATTTGGTAAATTAACAGTACAGATAAGTTTTGTTGATATTAATTGATTTTAAAACGTACTAAAATATATAGTTTTCTAAAGGCCTAAATAATGGGTATTCATGTAAGCCTAGAACATTTCAAAGAGAGTTCGAAATTTTCGACGATTCGTTGAGAAAAATTACAGCAAAAAATAGCATCCTGACCGCAGTGTCATAACACGCGAGCGTAAATTGTATTATATTTTTCTATTATACCTTTGACCGAGCTGGTCGTACTTCCGACGGTCTGCAAAGCGTACATGATGATGATGGCGGGAAGCAGTTATTGTGCAAATCGACAATGTGTTGCAACGGAAATTCGGAATTCTCGAAGTTCGGAGCACTGCAGCGACACTGCTGCGCATAACCTACAAGTGACCGCGACGTGCTATCGAACAAGTGGATAATGATATCATGTTATAAAATATTATCTCGAGAGCACGCGACTCTCGGCATTATTATTGGGTTTTGTGAGTAGGTGCATATAGATATACACGGTGTCTTGATATTATAATCTCTAACATTGTTGAGCGCGTACCTATTTCTCAATATTCATATTTAAGACTCGGAAGTTGATGACCTTAAAAAAAATTTAAAAATGACCTAAAAAAAGATGCAAATATGATATAAAAATGACAAAAAATGTCCTTAAAAAATGACGTAAATAATTACAAATATTTGTTTTAAATTAATAAAAATAATTTTTTTTAAATATTTAATTCTATTTTATTATAACATTCTATATAAATTTATCTTAACTTACAAATTACTCAAAATATGACATAAAAATGACAACAAATGTCTTTAAAATATGAAATAAAAAAGACAAACATTTGTTTTATAAATTTATCAAATCTTAGAAATTACTCAAAAATCGAAATCATTGTATTTTATGATTAGATCGTATTTGATGTTATCAGTAAATCGATGACAATTATCTGTATATAAATATTTATATTTGGAAAAATTTTTCTCCAAGTCCACTGTAGTGATTGGGAGACGCATACGAGCACTAACCGACGGTTTCATTTTCGCCATTTAAAAAATATTACGAAAAAATAATAAAATTTAGATATAATATAGTATTCAGTACGAATCTGAATTCAGTATTCAGTACATCAGTAGGACTCGGTACGGGGTAGATAGCGGTCGGTTGGACGCCCGAAGTTCCAAGCAACTGCCTCCCGGAGCGACACGACTGACGTTCGTCCGCCTCTGCGGTTACAGATCAAAACTCTGGTCGGCTTAAGCGAGTTTCCCCACTTGGTGCTAGGTTGACTATCAACCCCGGTCTGGTCGAAGAGTCGCACGTTGCTATTTAGGATTTTAGTTCAGGGAACGGCCAAATATCTACCCGTTAATATCAGTAACAACTGAACTTCCCATCCGTAAGGAAGAGAGACCTCTTGGTCACGCTCGTGCGCGCTTCCCGGTACCTCTCCGGATTTTCGTTCAGACTCGGATTCCGTGCCAATTGCCCACGTCATAGGGGTGACGGGAGCACGTTACACGCGCCCTATTTGAGTTCCCGCCCGTTGAAGATTCAGTTTGGAGGCCCGTTCGGCCCGAGCTTCGGTAATCAGCCGAGTTGAGAATACGGTATCCCAGTATAAACAGGTCGGAACCCCTCCAGTTCCGGTTGTTATGACAGCGAAAGTAGCGTGGTTACCGTAACTAGTCGTCGTCAGCTCTCTGTCGGCCGTGACTCTTTTGTTTCGAACGTGCAGTGGCGGATTTAGCGTTTTGACACCCTAGGCTTAATCACTCTGCTCCGCCCTTTATCACTCTACTAAGGAACCAACAATAATTGGTCTAAACCCTTCTCTTCAAATTTTATTCTTATTTTTTTTTATTAAAAAAAAAAAATATATATATAAAATATAAAATCTTTAAAATAGAAAACTTCTAAAAATAAAATATTGCATGTCTATTATTTCACTTCAGATACTATTATTACCAGTACAAATAAACAATGCTTATACAGTCACATAACGGAAATATAAATAGCCAGATATGAAAATACCTATACTCGGATAGTCGGATGTTCCTAATAAGTACATAGGTACTAATAAGTTATTAATAATAACTAGTAACTATCTGTTATTATTTTATTATAAATGAAATATTTTCAAATTGTAATAATAATTTTAATATTCTTACTATAGCCTATAAGTACGCATCATACATTGTACATATTAATATATTATTATAACTTTTTAAAACTATTTTTATTCGAGTTTATATGACAAATATAAAAAAAATATATTAAAATAAATATACCTAATAAGTCAATAATAACCCTTAATTCTATAAAAAAAAAAACGCCCTTCCAAAAAAGTCACCCTAGGCTATGAGCCTTTTAGTCTACCTCCTAATCCGCCTCTGCGAACATGTGGTCCGTCTTCCTCCGATTTCGCACGGTCAGTTTACGGTGACCGCGTGCACCTCGAGATGAAGTTAGATCTGTTGTAGAACCGACGTCGACCTGCCTGCCGGAGCGCACCAAGAGTCCGGTACCGACCAGGTTTTAGTTTTCCAGCAAACTTCTTCGCGGTTGATGGGTCCGGGTCGGACGACGTCTACGGCTACGCCCCAGCTAGTTAAAGCCAGGGAAGTTTCCTTTTCAGCTACTCGGTTCCCCCGAACTAGTTTGCACAGTTCGTTCGGCAGAGCCTATCGCGTTAACGTCGCTCACCCGATGACTCGAGGCGTCAAGTCACCGGGACGGTCCCGTGTTTCCGAACTTCCGTCCGCCTTAGTCGATTCAGCGAGTCAGTCGCTTAGAGGTTCGCTTTACGTTAGCTTTAATAATAAATGACAGTAGATATATAAAATAAAATGACTACATTATAGTCAGAGCCGTGTCAAACATTTCAGCGCCCCGGGGCAAAATTTTTTCTACGGGACACTGGGGACAGGTTACAGGGGGTAATAGCCCCTTTTGATCCTCCCCCCCCTTAACACGGCCCTGATTATAGTTGAAAACCTCTGCGAACTAAGTTCCGGAAATACTAAATAAATAAATAAATACTAAACATATACTAACTAAATAAAAATATTTAGTATAAATATTTCTATAAATATTCCCGGTCCCAATGGAAAAATAGGTAAAGATAAATTAAAATATGTCTTAGAAATGAAGGATATAAAACTATTAAAACTTACTCTGAGATTATGATAGAAAATCAAAATATTTATTTAGATACATCTTCCAATTTTTTAATCTATTTTAAATATACATTGATAACAAGTGTTAACGTTGAATGTACTTTTTCATTATATAAACATATTTTAAGAAACAGACAATACAATTTTCAAGAACACAATTTTGAGATGTATATAAATATAAATTTTAATTCAGAAAAATTATATATATTTTGTAAATATTATATTGATGACCATAATATTATTTAAGTAATTAATGATTATATATTTAATATGATTTTACTATGTAATTTTAATGTATTTCATTGCAATTTTGGCATCTTTTTAGTACAATTTTGAGATTATATGTAATTATGTGTTAAACATCAATTGACTGGTGTCAAGTTTACTAACAATCCACTGATGAGCACAGATAAATCAGTGAATACATTTTGTGGACAAAACACACTACTTGTGTGGGATTGCCTTAAAACTATTTCATGGTCCAGTGTGCATAAACCATAGTTTAGTTTTTGATTAAAACTTCTAGTATAAAAAATGATAGGAAATAAACATAATTTTTATTCGAGAAGAAACAGTAAACTTAAAGTCAAATAATTATACACAATTTATTTTTATATCTTATAATAATCAAAAGTCAGTCGTTAATGTTATAATACAATAAAAGGCAAAATTAGCACGCAAACAATAATCGTTAAGGCACTATGTATACATATGTATATTATAAATATAAGTACAAATTTATTACAGACTAAAATTTGATGTTCAGTATTTATTATAGAATATTTATTCTTTTTTTTTATTCAAATTGACTGGTGGTTTTAGTGATGGAAGACTAGATAAAATTAATTAACATGTATATTTCTCAATTAAGCTCGATTTTAAATTTAGAGATCTGTTGTTTAATTTAAAAATAGAATAGAAAAAAAACGTATACATCAAATATTAAAATAAAATATTAACAAAATAGAAAAAAATATACAGAAAAGGAAATAAAATATATTTAACAAAAATAAATATTAGGTAGTTTCTAAGTTACATATTTAAGTTATAATTGTTTTATTTTTTTATTTTGCTTATAATTAAGTATTGGGAAATTAAACGTTGATGTATCTTTAGATACAATTGAACCAGAATCTACAGAAATTCTGTTAATGAGTTTTAACCCAAATATTTAAAATAAACCTGTGTTAATTATGATATACACAACTATGGCACGTGTTCTAAACTCTAACAAAAGCTCTATTATCAATTGAGAGGAACACTCTTTGTGTTTAAGATTTTGTTAGTATAAAACTTAGTTTTCGACACATTTGGAGCTCAAGATCTGCCCATGTATGTGGGATTTTTGAATGTTGATGTAGCTTGTCTATAGATCGGATTTTCTGCCTAAAAAAAGTAGAAAATATAATTAGATATTTTAATGATTTATTTGAGGGAAAAAAATGTTTGAAAATAAAAAATTAAAATATTATTTGTATTGCAAATATATGACAAAAAGCTGACAAGATATAAAAACTAGATAAATGTTTTTTTTTTTTTTTTTTTTGTCAACAAAATAGAAGAAATAACTGAACTGAATAATAAATTTTAATACATTTCCTTGTCATATTTAAACTTGAAATAATTGACTTACTGTATCCCATTTAGCAATCATACGTTCTTTTTCAAATTTCGCAAACTCTCGTCTATCATTAATTGTTGTAAGTAGTTTCCATAGTAACAAAAGGGCCATTCCAATCAAAACAATTGCACCTATTACACCCAATATTATACCTGAAATATGACATGACAATGAACCAACAATGTACACAATAAAATTTAAATATGTAATCTATACCCATGAAGTAAACTTGAGGAGGACATTCACGTTCTTCCTGTGCTCGAATTATAATCTTTCCACTTTGATCATATGAGTACACATATGCAAAACGACAATCTTCGGTGTCATAGTATGAACACATATTTTCATCTTTGTCTTCATTAGCTAATAAAATATTAATATAATCATATATTTTGTTACAACAACTTATTATATGTATTGTATAATACCTTCAGCAACAGGAACAATAATTGGTTTAATTGTACATGTTTTCTCACATTCTTCAGGGGAAAGAGGCCCAGTTTTATACACAAGACACTGTATACAATCCTTAAATTCTAGACATCTTCCTGGACAAGTCTAAAAAACCCAGTAACAATAATATTAAAAATAAAAAATTTAATTTGTTTGGTTATCCCATTATTTATAGTTTTTAATTATTTATCAGTGTCTGCTTAATCAAATAGCATAACATTAAAAAAAAAAAAATTTATCTAGTACAAAAAAAAAAAAATTGGATATAACTTACTGGACATTTTTGACAATATGTTCCGGAATATCTTATCCCATTTTCTTCAAAGCATTTACATTGACCACATTCACAAATTCCACGACCAGAACAAATCTCACTACTACCATCCATAATACATGTTTCATTTATAGCATGACAATCACAAGATGCACCTATCCATTCTGGGTTGCACTCGCATTTACCACAATCACACTTGCCATGGCCGCCACATAAAGCACCACCAGATCGGTCACAAGAGAAATTATCGCATTCACAATATTGACCATATACCCTCTGAAAACATGTTTTATTTGGTTATGTCAGCAAAAATAATATTATAATATTCATTAGATAATTTTACTTCTTCTGGGTTAGTTCTGGAATGGCAGTCGCATTGACCACAGTTACACTCTCCACGACCTGAGCAATTTATTTCTGTTTCATTGTTTGCACGACAACTAGATCCCTTATTTGTGTCATTACCGTGACGATTATTATTAGCATCACATTCACATGTACGGCCAAAGTGCATAGGATCACATTCACAAATACCACATTTTATTGTACCAGCTCCATGGCAATCTGGAGATTTCTCAAGATATCCCTGAAATGAATTTATAATCATTCATTTGTCATAGCTGATATTCATAATTTATCACTTACAGGATGTCCAACATTTTCACATGGGCAATCACAATGCATATCCAATGCTACAGTTAATGATTCGTCTATACCAACAGGATAAATTTGGAATATTTGATGCCAATCTTTACGATTTGGTGGACATGATGTCACTTCGATTTCAGCTTGAAAATTAACTACGGTGCCAACTTTAAGACCATCGCATTTATTAGTTTGTTTTAATGGACCATTCTTATCAAGACAATTAGACCAATATGTGACTTTTATAGAACTAGTTGCATTATCTTTCATTTCAACAGAAGATGAAATTTTCTGTAACACAAACCACACATTTATTTTATTCCAATGATTAAAATAATAATAATAATAAATTATAAAATATATTATTTCTTACACTATATTGGTCTTTCACTAAATCAACTACATTTTCTGAATTTTCGGAAAGAATACCAGCAGAAGCTCCTTCAATATGTTGCTTTAAACGTTCATAAACATGTATTTGCTCAGCAGTTACAGCAAAAATCATATTAATTGAATTTTGTTTAACTTTTAAATTAATCTAACAATATCGAAATAATAAATAATGTTAGGTATTACATAATGATAAAAACTAATTTGTTGTTAACAATATCTACCTGGGATATTGATGGATAGTCTTGTAAAGTTGAATGAGTATAATTACCATCATTGTCCAAATGGCAACGACCATCATTTGGCTTTATAATACCACCAAGCTAAAATTGCACATAGTATTCATACTTCAAATAAATTAAATTTTGATATTTTTATTAACAGAGAACCATACCTTTCCATCGCCAGCATAATGAAATCCAGCGTCTGTTGAAAACAGCAATAACCGCCTAGCGCGTTCTCTCCAACCAATTTCATCTCTGCATACAATAGCTTGCATAATAGCATCAAAACCACCTTCAGGTGCATCTAAATTACCTGATACTTGTGCTCTTTGGACTTTAACCTTAAATTTTTTTACTGAATAAATAAGTATCTTAAATGAAATATATGTAATGTATATACATTTATTTACAAAGTTAATTCATATAATTAATTCAATTAACCATGCAAAATATACATATAAATAAGCTGTAAGTCAAGTCATATTCTGAAGTAAAATAATTTAATTAAAGAAATGTTAGTTAAACGAAAATTTTACTAACATATTTAAATAAAATGTATGTTTAAAAGAAATGCACAATTTTAGAAAATTAGTATTGAAAACAAGTACCAAATTAGTAATAACATTAAAACATTAATATACTGTCAATTGGAATTTTTAATCATTCTGAATAGTTGGACTTACGGCAAATTTATGAGTGTCTGGACTAAGAGTCATGACATTTCGGAATCCGTACGGAGAAGCTTCACAACGAGGACATGGCTTCTCCAAGCTGGATATTGTACAGGCACACAAAAAATTATTACAAAATAAGTTTTGTAATAATAAAACAATAATTAAATACAACTTAGCATGCATTAAATAAATTACACATGAATATAATAATTTATTGCTAAATTAAGCATAATGGAATGCATACTATGACAATAAGTCATAATATACCACGAAGCATTTTATCAATATAATACATATTTAAAGACAATTCAAACATAAATAATGTAAAGCAAGGCTACATATTATATAGTTGAGCATCAGAGATGAGACAGGGGTGCAAAATTAACAGGCACAGGCATTTTTTTACTTTTATTATAAATTGTGTTGAAATTAAGTTAATTTTTTTTTTTTTTTTATTATAGTTTCAGATCTAAAATAAAAAAGTAAAATGAATGATGAATGATGAATTCATTATTATTTTCTCTAATATGTACACAGAAAACATAAAATTTTAAATGTATAAAGGGTAAACAATACTTTATATAAAATTGTATTTAAACAATTTTATTTAAAATACTAAGTGAAACAACAGTAATGATGTACAATATTAAAAAGTTATTTCATGTAGTAGTTGGTACTTTGAGAAAAATATTTACTATTCAAATTACTTAAGTGTTACAACACTTTAGAAATATGAAAAAACCATGCATTAAATTGGTTATTCTTTTCAATTTCCAATACCCAAAAAATATTATACAACTATTCATACTTTCTCTTTTCATGATTTAAGAAAAATTTTATGATAGTTTTATTATTTATTTAAGTTGAATTGATTATTTTTGTCAACTTTTTCATTAATTTATTATGACATTAGTAAATTAATAATTAATTTAGTTTAAAATTTTAACATAACTGGTTAATGAATGATGTTATTATTTTAAATATTGGAACAAAATTATTTTTTCTGTAAATTTGTATAATTTATAATGGGCAGGGCCGTTCCAAAGAGGGATCTTGGGTAGGTATTTCACCCCACCCCAATGAAAACACCAGTTGGCAGTCGGACTTGTTTCATTATAGTCTAGAAGGACCTAATTTTACTTATGGAAAACAAATAATACATATTTCGTAATACAGTGTATACACAAATAAAATTTATATAATTACTTATTATATAAAATAAAATATTATATATATATATAAATAATTAAATTGTCAATTTTAAGAACGTACGACACTGACACATATATTAAACATTATACGTATGTTAAAAAGTAAAAATACGACTACATATAGTTAATTATAGTACATAAATTGAGTAAAAAAATTGTAGTCGGCATTTTTCATATTATTTACCCTCCCTTGATTTTCATCTTCGGGACGGCCTTCATAATGGGTACATTTATAATTTTTGTTATAAAGACAAGAATTGTAATATAAGATAAACAAACTGCCGACATAACATATTATTATTAATATTTATTTTTTTTTCATCAAACAGACTTTGACTAATTTTTTTCTTTTGTAAAACTTAAAATATCAATTGTACACCACTAAATATTATATTCTAGGATAATTTTTTGTATTCCATCATATTTTTTTCCCTTAAAAATTTAAACAAATTAGTCTACAAGCCCATCCCAACTACAGTTCCACAAATTGTTTAAATACTTATAAATTGAATAAAATATTATCACTAAAACATGGATAATAATAATAAACACAATTTAATTTTTAGAAGATGAAAATAAAATGTATTTTTCTACGTAGTATACATTTACGAAAGCAAGTAACTGTGATTGATAAACTTAAGATGTTTCAAGGTATTCACAAAACATTGATATATTATAAATATATTGATAGATGTTTTATACAGAATTCATTATGTACCAACAACTTACTGAGAACATACTAGTGTTTGAATTCAATGATAACTGATTACGATAACCATATGTAAGGGCACAAGATTCACATGGAGCACCATTACTAACCCAATAAAAATCACGCAAAATACATTTTATACTGATACAATCACATCTATATTTTTATTAAAACTATAATAAAGTACTAAACATACTTTTTTGGCACTGTATTTACATATGGCATGACAACTTTGTCAACAAAGCTACCAAATCCAAGTCTGAAGTTAGAAGTAATATTCTGCATGCTTTCAGCTAATAAATTTCCGAGTTTAGATAGTTTTTCTTTATCATCCTCCATTGAATTAGACAAGTCCATCAAATAATATAAATCTACAGGATAATCTTCAGCTTGGGCATAATTTAAAGATATTCTATAAGCTTCATCTAAAAAAAATGTAAAACATTTAAAAATGGATTAAGTATATAATTAAATATATTAAATATAATCAATTATAACTAATGACAAATAACATCTTACTTATTCTAAGCTTGAGAGACACTTTTTGTGGAGAGATTTGAACAGCTTCATGTGCTAAAGTTGATGCAGATCCGCTAAAAGCTGAAGAACTACTAGAACTACTAGAGCTACTAGAGATTCTAGAACTACTTAAAGATTTACTGGCTTTTTGAAGTTTTCGCGATTCTATAATACTGTATACATTATCAGGGTTGTTGATAAATTTTTCTTCACATTGTGATAGAACATTCGTGTTGATATTAGGTTGGAAACATCGTTTTCCATCAAATGCCTTAATAAAAAATAAAAAATAATTAGAACAATAAAAATAAAAAATAAATTAAAATACAATATTTTAATTTAAGAAGCATTTGACGTTTGAAAAAATCATAAAAAAACGTCAGCGATAAGGTCATGAGCAATTGTTAATAAAATAATGACCAGAACGTGAAATAACAATGAAAAAATATCAATGACTAATGATTTTATTTTATACTGAACGTACTGGTTGTGCACACCAAGCGCACGTCGGAGTTTGTATACATTCGTGACAGGTTTGTTTTAGAACACAGGGATTTTGTATGATTAATTTTTGTGGTATTTCCTCTCCGTGACAAAAGCCAAGCGTCAGCAAGGCTATCGTCAATATCTTCATAATTAATGTTTTGTTCATTTCGGCTTCAGTTATAATCTGTAAAAGAATTTAAGACTATTAATATAAATATAAAAACGATTATTTTACAGTCAACATTTGACATTTAATATCTTATATAAAATTGCATAAATCATCAAAAATACTAAATTTATCTAAAATATTTTGAAAACAATATTGCAATTTCATTAATAATCATGGTTTTAAATATAATAATATTTAAAAGAGCTGTGTTATACTTTGGCTATAGTCAGTTAATAGATACAAATAATATAATATTTTGCAATTGGAAAAAAGAAAAAACGAGTGACTAAACAATCACTAAACAAATTGTAAATTATTATTAATTTATATTTTATAAAACAATTTAATTATACATAAGATTATTTCCGATAATAAAGTAATAAAAATTAGTACAAAAAAAAAAGAAAAGGTGGAATTAATATACTGAAAAAAAATGACAATTCAAAATTCAAAGTTATAATAATAATAAATAATAATAGGAATAAATAATAATTATAGGAATTAATTCACGAATCATAATTAGAGTATATTTAATAGATGTACAAAACATACATTTAAAATAAAGGTATCCAAAAAACGCTAGACATTCAGCGTTAATATGAAAATAGTTGATTGACTTAGAAAAACGCATCCGTTAAAAACATACCGGATGATAACAGTTTCAAGTAAATACAATGCAATCACACCATGTTACAAACGAACGAGAGCCAAATATGGAAACGTCACACGTATGCACACGCGTCATTCTAAAAACATAGAAATTATGATATTTCCTTTCTGCGTCATACCGCTTCAAATCGTTCAAGGATATAATTCGCTACCGAACATAGATAATGTAATTTAAATGGTACAATATTAATATAAACCAAACAAAATTATTCGAATTTATAATCAAACAAGAGGCATATTGAACACTCCTAACAAAAAACTTCAACAACTAAAAAAGAAAAGAAACATAAAATAAACTATTCCATGTAAAACCAAGTAATTCGTATATTATGAATATAATGTATATAATCATAATATTCGAGTTACTTGGTTTTACATGGAGTTATTTATTTTATGTGTCTTTTCTTTTTTAGAAAATTAAAAAAATTTTGTGTGAAAAAAAAACTTTGAGACGTTAACCCAGTGCAAAAACAGAACAATTACAATTCATTACATTGTTGGTACCATAGGCCTGCTGTTGAAATGTACATCCGAAACTATAATTGCACACTGATAAAAATTTTACAGCACAGCTGCTGTTGTTTAATAATCGAAATTAATATTTTTAAATTTTTTTCTCGTGCACATTTTGGGTTTTCGGTCTCCATCCAAAGAATGCGAACATACCAGATAGTGGTACGTCTTTTGGCCTACATGGCTCATTAACGTCGTCCGACGACTATACGTCCCCCCGGTCGCCACTCCCTCTATACTCTGCCCACCGCGCTGTGCGCGATTACCGTTTACGGCCATATGTCGTGGGTTCGCATTGCAAACCCGATCGGTCGAACCGAAAAAAGTCGCGATTGTTCCGACAAAGGTCGCAGTCGACAGCAAACGCCGAACGTACGTCACAGCCAAACCCTCAGCCCTGTTTACAGCCGTCAACGGTCGAATAATGTAAACATGTGCCATTAATAATAATCAGGCGATGGCACGGTGCGGGGAAGGCGCACTCGCGGTGAAAGGAAGCGACAAGGTGGCAGCGGTGTATAATAAAACCGTTTTACGCTGTACGACGGATCGCACGTGGGTGCGCTGAGAAAACCAGTCATTCCCACACGACTGCTATGTGCGTGCTACAGTTGTGTTATCCGTTGTCGAGTGAGTTGGTTTTACAATACCCCCTTCTCCGCCACCGTAATGGAAACATAATATAAACATATTGTTACAAACACTTTTGGTTTTCTTTCTCTCTTTTAATATCTATGTATGAATCCATTCGCCCTCGCTGTATACAATAACGCCATTGGCTCGAGAACGCGCCGCGTTGGCGATTTTCCTCGTCTGTTGACCGATTTCTGGGCAGGCACGCGCGCGTTCATCAATGAAATCATCGGATAAAAATACACGAACATCCCCACTATTGTTGTCTGATCGCGTCAACCATACGAGAGTATGGAATGAAATGAAATAATTAGAAAAATTGTTTTTTCTCTATTCATCTTTAAAGGTCGTATAGCGGCGACGAAGTGTAAACTATTTTTTACCTCCACTCGTCGTTGTCAACAAAGTAGAGAATGAGAAAAAAAACCAGACGAATAGCTGCAGCCTTATAAGGCTCTGATGGACAGTTATCCGGTGTGTAAAAGTGCGTGCATGTGTGAGTACGCACACGCATATGTTTGTTACGGTTATATGATATTATATTTTTAAAACAAACACTCAACACTGAAAACCGATAAACCACACGAAAAACTGTTTAAGTAGATCGTTTTTTAACAAATTCAAGAAACCAACACTTGATCCGTTTAACTGTGCTGTTTATCTGTGAAATTAACTGAGTAAAAATTGTACAGTTTAATTTGAACTGAAGGTGTGTAGACTAGAACAGTTTTTCTCTAGATTATGTTCACAATTTTCTCATGTTCTTCATGTGGTTTAGTCACAGTCTACTGTGCGTTTGTTTTAACATACAACAATGAACGATAAAAAAAAAGGCAGTATTGTGTTGTGTAATTATAGCAGTGCTGTTCGAAGAAGATAAACGGAAGAGAAGGCTCCGGAACGCTAGAGCAAAGTCTGATTCCTACTCCAAACAAGTGTTTTGCCCAGCGTTTGTCATCTGCTGAATGAAGGGCATTATATAACCCACAATTCGGGTAGATTTCTGTACGCGTCAATAAAATGCAATTGTTCTTTTTTTTCGCCATGGCGGTGGCAACAGTTAATTAGTAGTAAAGTAATAACAGAATATAAATAATACCAAAAACAGCTGACATACGTGGCTAGAAACGATTAGACAAGACTGTGCAAACTATTCAATCGACTGAGCTAACTATGCCATTTATCAGTGCAAAGTAGAGTTAGTCACGCAGACCAAAAGCCTATGTAAAAATTTTTCAGAACGGCACAATTAAACTGATAGTGTGTGGGTCCCTTTACGACTTATTAATCGTTGGTATCGACGACATAAATATGTAGTCTGTGGTTATGCGATAACACGAATCAACGGTCACATGGGGGCGCCATATCATTACACGAGCCATTACTTGGTGGCGGTGTCTATACTTTTACTCCAATAATAGATGTATTTATTTAGAGCGCACACGCGATTTTTATATAAATCGGAAGCCATTACAGACGACGCAGGTTATTAGGCTAATGGTTCATCTGGAATTCTTTTTTCGTACATATTCTGGTAATCTGCCAGATTTTCCGTCAAATGACGTATCTATGTTATGTATTAATATAGCATATTGTTTATATTAAATTTACTTAATTGTGTTAAAAAAATGGTGACTAATATTAATTTTAACCCTTCGTTAGTCACCACGGGGTATTTTAATACCCCAGACAAGTTAAAAACGTTTATTCTTATAGAGGTAAGAACTTATGCACCACCACCGCCGTGATATCATTTTTGATTAGTTTATTAATATGATAGCATGATTTTTATCATTATCATTGCAGTATCAAATGATAAACAGTAATTCAAAGTGGAGTCTGGAAATATTTTACCTCGGTGACTACTTTAGTTTTAGATCATTTGAAAATAAATTTATAAAAAAATTCCAATTTTTACAGAATTATTAAGTTTTTTAAAAAAGAGTTTCTTTTGAGAATAAATATTTTTATTTTAATTTTATTATAAAAGTATACTGAAAAGATAATTACATTATATTTGACCTATTTTCAATTATGATATTAGGTTTCCTATTTAACATAAATTAATAAGTAATAATAAAAATATGTTGTATATGTTATCCAAAATAATAATTTAAATAATAGATCACTATATTAATGTCACATAAAAAATAAAATAAAAAACTAGAAAAGTAATTAGCAATATTTAATTTTATAATTATATAGAATAAATGTTCATATTACCTTTGAAATATTTAAAAAAAAATCGCATTTAATTATTTAAATATTAATTATATCTATATGTAATACACATATTTAATAAAAAATAATAAAATTTATGAATTTATTAATTACAGAAATAAGTTTAATACATGGGGTATAATATTACCCCGGGTGATTAAAATTGTTCAGGTCAACAAGGTGACTAACGAAGGGTTAAGGAAATACTTCCACCATTCATGCGGCGAAAGAAAAATAACACACATATAAAAGTATAAGTTAAACGATTTATTATTTTATTTATTAGTATTGAAATATTAAATACATATTTCGCGAAGACAATTTTAATATTTTCATTTGGATATAAAATTATAAATATAAAAATAAGTGTTTATAATACGGAATGTTATGAGCATGAAAAATAGTAGGATTTTTCTCATTTTTTTAAATTCCATGAAATATAAAACGTTTACGATAATTTATGAATTTAAATACACCAGACATTAACAAATAAAAATATATAAAAATGTACTGTAAGCATGAAACCAATTATTTTGTTATGAAATAAAATAATATTATAATATTCATAAAATATTCAAATCAAATCAATATAGATATTATTTATGATTTATTATAAATTAGACAATGTATTTTATTAGATTACTTAACTAAATGAGGATACCCTGGAGGATATAATAGTTAGTAATAATTATAATTACTTTCAGTTTTCTTTTGAAATGTACATCCATTTTTAAATATAAATACGTTACGTTTTTATTTAATTACTTCAGTATAATTTATTCCCAAATACATACTTATAAATAAAAAAAATCGAGTGTTACATAATTAAAAATAATGACATAACATTTTATCAAGTTAGTAAGGTTAATTCAAATATATTATAATTTATAAGATACCGTGTTGTTACTTGACATTAAATTTGTATGACCTTAATAATATCTAGTAATGTACAACAATATTAAAAATATTCTGAAATATAA